GAAAAGATGTCCTTTCTTCAGCTAGTTGACTAGTCCACAACACGATAATGAGGATGAGTGGCAGGTAAGTATAAGTGATCTCTCGTCTTGGTCGTGTCTACTTGTGTGTTTATAAGAATCCGATTAAAAAATGGGCGAGTCACATTCTTGAAAGAAGGTAAAAATCTCACCTCTCCTCCCTAATTAAGCGTGAGGCTGCTAACTAACTAACCAACAAACTCCTGTATGTACATAGCTGCATACTTGTCTCTTTTTCTACCCTTGTTTTACATCGGTGGTGGTAGGGAATCAATCAGAAATGTGATACTGAGGTGGACACTACGACGAGAAGAACGATATCAGTAAAAAAAATTGAAACACAAAACTCTTCTTCTTTTTTCTTGATCTTATTTAAATCAAGTCTTAATAATTTCTCTCTTTTGGCAGTGTTGGCAACCTTGAGAGCAACCCGACACTTATTATCATGCCCAATTGTTGAGAAAATTGTTGAGATTTGATACTCTCCTCCATTGACAAATGCACCCAAGAAGGAAACAACAATAAACAACTTTATTTGAGAAACTGGACTCGTGTTTTTATTGCCGTCATTTCCTCAAGTGGCAGGATCCACTCCCACTCCGTTACAGATACTTTTACTATGTACATATGTACACACTGCATTTTTGCCCACTACATATTTTACTCGGTCTTCATTCAGTTTTAGTCCTAAAGTCCCATCGGAAAGGGGAGGAGGAGAGGAACTCGGTATAAATGCATTGTGATCCAATACTTGAAATATGTTTGTTTAAAAGAATTTTCCCATCGTAAGAGAAACATCCTGTGAGAATGCACCACAATTTATTAAAAGAAGGAAACTGACCATTGGATGATGATCATCATCACACACAGAAGACACAGCAGGTAACTTTTACCAACTCAGTCAGAGGAGGAGGAGGAGACCACCACCACCCTGGGGGCTTGATGATTGTTCATGTTCATGGAATTTATAAAGATGTGATTACTTTTACTACACATAGAATATGGATGGGTGGACGGCCGACTGAATCACCTCCAATATGCGAATCACCTCCACCAAACGCAGCTAGCCGTATATATATACATACATACATAGATTCAAATTTTATTTTTACACCTTCACAACATAACACAACACACCGTTCAATAACTGCCATCACGACGTACAATTCAGAGCTCACAGGGTGCACAAGGGCGGAGACTTTGAGCAACAAAAGAGCGAGAATTTGACTAAAACATGTCTCACTTGTCAGAGTTGCCCATTTCGGGTCGTCCGAAAAAAGGAAACCTATTGTCCACTGGGCAAGATAGATGGTCCTTGGGAAGAAAAAGGAGCAGAGGAGGATTATCCGTCCTATGTGTGGGTTCGTTCATGAGTAAACATTATTTCCTTGCCAAGTACCAAGCAGAAAGAAAGAGATACATTTAAACGTTTATACACTCGCTGCCCATTGTGCCAGCCACTCCAGAGAGAGAGAGAGGAGAGGACAACAAATAGCGTGGTGACCCCATATCCACGAGAAGAAGTTGTTGAATGGGAAGAGTGAGAGGAACGACGACGACGACAAACCAGGTATACCGTGTTGCTTATGGGGTGTGGATGATGGGAACAAATAATGAAAAAAGGTACACATAGTTAAATGGGTTGGGCCGAACTTGTTTGACCAAGTCTACCTGAATACAATTCCAGACCCTGTGAGACCAACTGGAGAGATAGATGAAGATGAAGGCGAAGGGGGTCTAATAACTGAGGCATCACCACCACCATCGCCACATTACAGCACAAACGAGAAGATGATCATGTCATTTCGTGACGATTGTTGCAAAAGTATCAAAAATAATAGCTCGCTGGCAATCCCCATGACCAACATTGTTGGCAGCCTTGTTGGTTGCTTGTTGAGAAGAAGAAGATGTTTTAGTTAGTTGGTTATTATTCGTTACTAATAAAAGAGAGAGATCAGGCAGAGGACATGAAGAGTTGGGATGAATGAATTGTTAGAACTGGGCTGGCAGGAGGCAGCGTGTTCAGCAAGGGGCCACTTTTAACACTCGCTGGAGGAACTTAAGTGACATAAATGAGCCAAACTTAGTTGACTCAACTGCTATAAAATATATCTCAAACTTTGCAAGTAAAATTACTTTTGCCCAGGGACATTTACGAGACGTTTTCTCGAGGTTGTTCATAAACCCTGTCCCACTGCCAAGCCAGGCCAAGTAGAAACTAGTCGTGTAATAACCTGAAAATCGGCAACTACAGGCACATCATCATCATACATCCATCCCTCGCCTTGGCCTTATCTGCTCCCTTGTCAACCTAAAAAGACTAACGAGGAGACGAGGGCATGAGGAATTGCTGGCTCTCTCCAGCAACCACCAGCCTCCTCTCTCTCTCTCAGCCTTCCGCTCTGCATATCAATGCGGTGCTGGGCACCCCCACTCACTCACTGCATAAGTCACAGTGGGTGGGGACAGGAGAGAGAATATGGGAATAAAATAAAATAAAAGGTGGTCTTCTTCCTCATCGTGGCGGTCCCACATATTTTCCTTGCCTTTTTGAACAAGTGGAGCATATGAAAACCAACTTCCACTCGGTGTGACTTTGCCTAGCCTCGAGTCATTTTGTGCCATTATTCCTCCACACACACACACAAACATTGCAATTATTTCAGAATGAGAGAAAGTCCGGCCAGCCAACACTACACTATCCGCGCTCTTCTTCTTCTTTTTGTGGAGAAAAGTTGAAAAGTTTACAGGCTAACTTTAACCATCCAAGAAAAATAACAGCATCACGCTGAGAAAAAACAAACAGAACGAGTCAAGCCAAATCCGAAACTACTCTTTCTTTTTGGGAGCAAAAGAAGCAAAGAGCTCTCTGTTTGCGCGTCTAAAATACATACATTTATATACATGTTATTTGCTGGTGGTGGATGGATGTAGCGAAGGAAAAGTGTGTGTTCCACTCCAAAGGACTACGTTTCAATTTCCTCCTTTCGCATTCAGCCAGATCCGCTTTCATTTTTTGCAAAGCCACGGACAAAGATTAATAAAATACGAGGAGGAGAAGAGACCCACTTGCAGCTCGCATTGATATTTCACTTTTTAAAAGAGACGAGCCATTTAATGAGCTGAGGAACGACTTTGACTAAGCAAACTCACGAAATGAATGCCAAAGTTTGGTTAAAAAATTCACAGGACATACGAATACACGCGAATATGCGACATATTATGTACCCAGTAGTACCCACACAACAGTACTTACGTACAGATGCAATTCTCATCTTCTTCATCAGTATTTTATCTGCAACTCGACTAAATTCATTTTATTTTAGATTTTAATAATACGACGACTCCTACTTGTTTGAATTTGAGCCTAATTGAAGAGAAACTTGGTATTTTCTTGTTTCTCATTTGATGCGCACAATAAATAATTAAACGCTTCTGATTAGGCTTTGCGACTAATTAGAGTGAGCAAATGATTTCTGTCATCTTCATGCATGATGATGAGGATGGAAATGAAAATGGGTGTTGCTCTCTCAAGAAGAAGAAGCCTGCTGCCGCACCACTGGTGAGGGAACTCAGTCAGGTAGAACCGTGAATTCTTGGCGGCGGCGTCGGCGGCGTCACTCGCAGAATATTATTATTATTATCAAGAAGAGCTAATATTCTCTGCTTTTCGTCAGGGAAAATTAAATCGCTGAGCTGATCATAATAAACGTAATAAAGTAGCGTTTTGAGTTTCTAATGTCACTCTCTCTCTGTCAAGCAATAAAACCAGGCAGGCTTTGTTTTCATCTTCTCCCTCATCTCGATAAATACGAGATACTGTACTTCTCGTCAAGACGATGAAGATACGAGACGAGACGATGAGGGTTGGACAAGACACCAATTAATGCCTGAATTATTTGTTTTGTATGCAGCCATCTCGTCAATGTGGTAATCAAGGGAAAAGAAGAAGTAGAAGAAGAGTTTGTTTCGCATCCCAATCAACTCTTTCTCTCGCAAAAAGTAACAAAATCCAAGCAAAGTTTGGCAGTAAAATGATATTATTATTCCGTCTCAATCATTAGGGAGAGGCAATTCAAGTCTTGTTCTTCTTACGTCAATTCTCAATTGTTAAGAGGAAACAGATCTCCTGCTTTTAAAGGTTACATAAACTCCAGTCTGACAACATTTTAAAAGATTTTGATGACGAATTATATCAGCTTTTCTCCATATGCAGAAATATAAGGCTTGGAGGAATAATAATGCGTCCTCTCCTCTCTCCGGTATAAATGCCTCGTGAGGAGGAAGAATAATAGGGAAAAACGAAGAATGAGAAGAAATCGATTTCTATGAGATCTACTCTTTGGGAAAGAGCAGAGAGAGAGAGAGAGAGAGCTTATGTCCCATTGTTACATTCATTTTGAGCAGCACAAGAATAAATTGGAGCTCTGTTGGAAAATAGAGAATATATATTCCTTTTTGGCAGCAGGTAGATTTATGAAGGGTTGAACTAGGATCATATCATCCCGAAAAATAGGGGAGATTGCATTGCCCGTGTATGATGATCACGGTCATGATGGTGTGTGTCACTCTCGTCATTACATTCCCCATCAAATCTCATCCTCCTCCTTTCTATTTTCCTTTTCAATTTCTCTGAATTCAAATCCACCTTTTTGTACGGGACACATCCATATGTCGTCCTCGTCGTATGTCATAGCCATGTGCCATTTGGATGGGTGGACGACGCGAATAAAATCTCGATAGCTATATACACGACATACACGCGCTTAAACATTCGTCCTCCTGGATGCATTACGACATGGCTTTCAGGCCCAGTTCTCCAATCCTTAACCAGCCAACCGACCAAAGCTGACTTCACTCGCAGGAGGAGGAGGACGACTAATCTCCTCTAATCAATACGTGGTTTTGCTACCGTATCAACATACCAGCCTTCCAGTGAGAAGGAATAATATGGAAACTTTAAAATGTATTTATGTATTTACCTTGTGCATTTTCTTGTCATTGGATCAGAGCGTTGAAATATTCGTCTCCTCCAGGGTTGATATGAATCTCTGTAAAAGAAAAATGAAAATGAAATTATTTGCATTTTAAGAGGATTTCTCAATTTTCTGGGAAAACAGTGATGTTTTCATAATAACGGGAACAAGCAACAGTTGATGAAAGTGGTGCTGGCTGCACCAAAGTCATGATGTTACATAATTTTTTTTACAGAGATAGACAAAATCTCCGAATAAAATCTCCTCTTCTCCAGCAGATTAATTTAATGATGGAATCAAATGATGTTGCATGTGGACCATACATAATCTGTGTAATTCTGAATGTAATCTTTTCTAAAGGGCATAATATGCATTATGTAAGTGTATAATATGTAAGTATTTAGAATGGGATAGAAGGAGCGTGATGATGTTGCTTTTGATGGTGAAAATGAAGAATAAAAGTAATAATAATGCAATATACACACTTTTAATCTCTTGAAATGCTGAGCACCAATTAAAAAGATTTTGTGCTTCTGCCAATTAATAAGATTTGTGATGATACATTTTCACATTTGCAATAAAACGTGACGTCTGCTGTTGTTGTTGTTGCTGCTACAAATTTGTGGCAGCTTGGACGATGGCACAAGTCGGAAATTTGTGGAGTGTATCTATGTAAGTACACATAAAATACTACACATTCTTGTTGGGAATGTGAGTGCATAAAGATAGTAGTGTGTAGTAAAGTATTTGCAGTGTGTATTGTGGGAGAGAGATAGAAATGGCGAGATAATTTCATTTGAGAGATTGGGCTGACAACCATCATCAACTCTCTGTCTGCCACCAGATAATGTCACCAATCTTCATATAAGAAGATGGCAAACAAACAAAGTCGCCCAGCTCTCTTGTTTCCATTAGCGAATTCAATGGGCATTTTGTGATTACACTAAATTCTAATCCAAGCTAATTCCATTAGGAGAGAAATCTGCCGAGTTCATCTCTCTCTCTCTCTCTCTCTCTCTCTGGCCATGTCGCATTGCTGCACAAAATGTCAAATGTCTCGTGGACTCCTCTTCTTCGTCGTTTTCTTCCCTCTCGTCAGTCAACGCGGCGGAGGATAACTTTTAACAATACGAACAAGAACAATGCATCTCCTCTTCTTCTCCTTAAAGTCGCCAAAGTCGTCGTCGTTCTCCTTTCAGCTTTTGCTCCTCCGAGGAGATCTTCTCCCCGAATAATGGTACAATATGCGATCCCAACTTTGAATCACCACCAACTGACTGAGTTTGAGAAGATTCTCAACATTTCACAAAATATCAAATTATTTCTTCCTGACACCCATCATCCTCTCCACGAGGACGGGACGAGGACCTGCAGCCTCACTCACTACACCAGCTTCTAAGCTTCTTTCACAAAGAAGTTTAATTCCTTTTAACCTGGTGCCTGCCTGCTCACTCGGTCGCTTCCACGACTATGGTGTAGTCGTGGGGAATAATGGGCCCTATCATCAATTTATCAAGTGCAGAAATAATTCCCTCCGTTCAATGTCTCCGTCCAAATATGACTGATTTCCCACTATTCACTTGATTCAACTCATCTCCTGTGTTGTGTAGCTCTTTGCTCTCCGCCTGCTTATGGAGAGTGATGTTAAACCGGACGAGTGTGCAACAAATCCCCCGGAACAGTTTTGAATCCGCTTTTGGGCTCTTCAACAAAATTGTTTTCCAATGAAATACGAAAATGAATTGGTTGGTTGCATAACCGGGTTTTCTCAGTATTCTGCATAATTCCGTAGTCTCCTATCTCCAACGCCCACACTGCCGATGCCTCTGCTACATCAGGAGCCTATTATAAATTGGTGGCAAGAAGAAGGAGAGAGAAGGTGGTGTTGTCGATGATTGTCATACATTTCACATACTGGATCCTAATCAACCCCATCACATCCATCTTTCTTTCCTTCCCTTCTCTGGTGCTGCAAGCAGATATGTGCTCCAAGGGCTGATTGGGTCGATTGGATGCCTCCATTAAAATATTCCCTTGTTTCAGGAGGCCCGTAGGAGAAGAATGGGCTCAGATAACATCTCTCCAAACTACAAACCACCGGCTCTCAAAGTAATATCTCCGCAACAGCCAGTCTAATAGTACGTGTCTTGTTCTACGGCTCTCTGCTCCACAATTCTGCTATTGGAAAGGAATAATAAACTAAAAACTCGGTATCTCTCTCTCTGTTCCAAAGTTGTCAGTTCATCGAAAAGGCTTAAGGCTTTTATTCCTCTAGATTTAAACTTGTTGTTGGTTCATCATCATCATGATGATGCTGTTCAAATGCAAGTTTCGTCCGATCATCTTCGCAGTGAGAAGAACTAGTTGTTTCTCATGCTAATAGAATCCTCCAACTTACCACCTCATCCACCATCCCGACCGACCGACATGCTTTTGCATAATTTTTACAAATTGTATTTTTTAACAAAACTGAGTAAACTTTATCACTTGTTATCTTTCGAAGCAGCTCCTCCAGCAGATTCCATAACCAAATGCTATCCTCGTGTATATGTGCATTATACAAGTGAAATCCACATGTGTCAGTCACCCCATCAGGGTACACACAACACTGCAACATGAAAAATGTAGGCCAAACCACAAATACGCCGATCACTGACAATTTCTGTTAAGGTCAAACCATGTCTTCCTCCTCTTATGGAGACATGTACATGCACTTCTTGGTCTTCCAGGCATACACAAGATTGTCAGTTCTGATACAATTTTCGGAACACGGGCCAACCCACCATCACACCACCACTGCCATTACGTTACGTACTTACATACCACCATCATCAGGTTCTGGATGGATGAAAATATACACTCCACACCACAACCAACCTTTTGCATTTTTAACAAACCATTGTTCAAAGAAAAGCTGGCTGCTTAACTCCCATTTCTCGAGATATAGGCAAACATGCCAAAGAAACGTTCACAACAAGGAGAGAGAGAGAGTGTCGCTCACATTTTGAAGAAAAGATTTGCACTGTTTGTCCAGGCTACTGTTCATCCCTATCCAACATTTTACACCTACTCGACATTCTACAATTTCTACATGCATAGAAAAGGACGGAAGTTTCTCATCAATTCGCAATACGGCGTAATGCGCTTTTGTTGTCCATCTCTTTTTGTGCTTCAACTTATCAACGACAAAATTGGACTACACGACAGTCTCACATTTCACCTTCCTTCACAAATCTATATATTTTATGACTAGTTTTGCAGGTTACACAATTCACGCGCAAATTGATCAACAATGTCTCCAAAATGACGACTAATGCGAGATGCGAGGGGAAGAAGAACGAGGTGAACCTGTTGAGTTATCTGAGAAGAATTGTAAGAAGAAGATGCGTGCTCAATAATTCTCATCATCATCACCATCATTCCTCCCTTTCGAATAAAAAGACCCGCGATGCAGGAAGAAGCTAGAGAGAAGAAGATGAAAATATCATCACCGTATCGACAAATAAAATCAAATAAAAAATTGGAAACACAAATGAGGCGAATCGAATTCGAGTTATGGCTGCTCATCACAATTCCATCCACAACTAACAAATCGAACATCCCGTTCGCATCACATGTAACAACATGAGACGGAGAGAGAGAGAGAGAATAAGGAATGTGTGTCACAGCAGCTTCCCCTACGGTCATAACATGGCTTCATCATCATCCTCATGTTAATTCCATTATTACTTAATCCAATAAATCTTGATCCGCCAACATAGAACGACTCTCGAGGCTCTTATTATTATTACATGTTGTTGCACCACCCAAGCCAACCACCTTCCCGTTCTCCCGTTATTATACGAGTATTATTGCATACAAAACACTTTTTACTCCCCACAGATAGCAATGCAAATGCACAACCTGTACTTGCTCTCACGGCACATTAGCACCTACCCACCAAATTGGACATGGTCTCCCATTATTACAACAGTTCTACTACTACGTACGGTTAGGTTTGCCCTGTAAATTGTGAACAGGGTTCAGTCACTGCTCGATGCCTGACAATAAATATGTAAGCTGACTGAGAAGGACATGACATGCTAAAATTATCACGCTCTTGGTACTTCGCAATGGTGTGAAAATTCTCAGCCATCAAAATATTAAGAAAAGGATGATAACACCGAATGCGACAGACGGGGATGAAAATAAACATGTACATGAGCAGAGAGTGAGAGAGACGTAAATAAATATATTCCATCAACCAGGGGCGAGAAAGGGACATTTATTCTTCGTCCAGGTGGAATTGAATGTGTGCGAAATTGCCTTGTTGTGTAACCGAGTTGCACAACAAGTAAGTTTTCAATAATGGGCAAAATACGGTGAGTGTCAACACATAAGTAACTGAATGGTGGGAAATAAAGCCACACACATCGTGTTAACATTGACATGCGGGACATCGTTTCACAAACTTTTTTAAACTTTTTAAAAAACTCGAGGAAATCTAATCTAATCTGGAAAACTTTTAACTTTTCCACAGTGCAATATCTACAAGGAGCATTTTGCTTAAAAATACGAGAATCGAATAAAGTCAAACTACAACTGAATGCAGATTATTTCAAGTTGTGTTGAAAAATCTAATTATATGGTTTCACCAATGCGTCCCACTCACTCTGCTGCTATTTACTACAACTTTTACCACCATTCGTACTTACGCATAGTTAAAGGACTTTTATTCAATTCACAACACAAGAAGAAGAGTTGGGATGAAACGTGAATAGGAATTATCCCGAGAAGAACAAGGATAGAAAGTGCGTTGGCATTTCATTGTCAGTCAGTCAGTCAAAATCGTTAATAGCATTTAATGAAAATCTTCCTCATTTATCCCAAACTCATTAGCATCTCAAACACCAAAGTCAAAGAGAAGAAGAAGTAGAAAAACTCGGCAGCCAAACCAAAGTCATTAAAGTATTATGCTCATTAGCTGGCAGACAAGAGAGGTTTGTACAATCAGCGAGTCACCAACTACACTTGCAGATATGTACATATGCATATACGACTTGCGGTGGTGATGAGAGTTACCTGGTTTTAACAAG